TAAATATATCTTGCATGGCAACCGTTAAGCTTTGCTAAAGGGGTCCTGTTGCCTAACTCGATCGTACAGGATAATGGGCTCTTCCTTGTTTGCGAAGGAGTTTTTTGGTCCTTAACAATAATTTTTAACAAAATTTTTTTCGTCCGATTTTAAAAGAGAGACGTCTTGACAATTCAATACAGGAATGATATTCGCTATGTGCAAAAGTGACTGTAGCGCTGTCCGTGGCCAATTTTCAAACTTCTCAGTGAGAAAAATACGTTTAAGCTAAATTAAATACATTTAAAATAAAATAGTTTTGTTGGAAAAATATCATAATATTTAAACTAGTCAAGGAGGAGTGGTTATATAATAATAATAATGAATAAAATTATTCAAACTAGGTTTTTTGAAGATAACTTATTCTATTAAATTTAATCCTCAAACAATTCTGAAAGGTAAAGCTTTGGCCGTTCTTCATGTCATGAGAATTGAAGAATTAGATGGTTGTGACTATTTTGATTAGGTGTAGTGTCATCAGGCAAACTTCAGTTACTTTATCACCTTATAAAGTAGAATTGAAGGAAAGTAATTCTGATTAAATGTAAATAAGGTTATGATAATATAAGATTAGAAAATTATTCGTCAATCTAATTTCTAATTAGTCTAACATTCATACGAAAATTTATTCATTTTATCAATGTCTAATTTTTTATAGCTCAATAGAGAACTATGTATATTTAAAAATTATATTTGTTTTATTATATTTCCAGATATTATAGTATATACTGTTATATATTGTTTATTTCTTTAATAATATATATTCATAAAATAACGAAATTCTTATACATACTGTTGCCTTCGGACTGCACCTAACGAATTTAGTCGCCTCTGTAATTTGTGTGGAAACAGTGAATTTGCGATTGGAAAACAATAAAATTCGAAACTTGAATTACGCGTTGTATTTGAACAATGAATTACAGAACACAAAAAAGTGCTTTCTGACATGGTGGCATAGTTTGCAGGATAAAACTTTTGCATTAAATAATTATTTTTTTTGAGCGTGTATAATTTCTTAAGGAATTGAATTTATTCACTGTAAAGTTTCTAAAACCAACACTTGAGGCGCTGGCGTCAACGTGCACATAGCGAATAACTAACATAATAATGAAATAGTAAAAAAAATGGGAATTTAGTTTCATCGTTGAATTCATCCTTTTAATATTCATTCAGAAAAGTTATGTTACATATGAACGTTAGGTACGGTTTTATTACGTAGGTAGGAACATTAGTTAACAGTAAGAATTCAACTATCGGCTTATTTCATCTATTAGAAGGCTGGTTTTGTTTATTACCCCTTCGAATAAAAAAAAAGATTCCAGATAATCACCAATGCAAATTAAATTTCCTTTTAATTATGTTCAGGTTTAGGTATGGAAATATAAACGATATTTATGTGATTGTGGTGATTGCAACAAATTTATTGGAATGTTTCATTAATATTTAAACATCCACAGGTTATTAACTCAAAGAAATTATGACCTCGAGCACCCGATCTGTTCAGTAAACGGTGATTTAATTATAAAATACGCTGTTGTTTGCAGCAGATTGAAATTGTAATTTACGCAAGTCTTAAATTTAATTCACCACAAACATGTCCTCGAAATTCACGAAGGAATTAAAACTATTTCGACGTAGGATTGTGTACATCTTTCTCGGTGGTATCAGAGACTAAACTGTACAACAAAAACATGTCACACTTTAGGTTTACTTGCCTTATACACCGATAAAATGTCAATTTATAAAACCAGTAACAATCCCTTACAGGTATTTTAAACTTGGCGCGAAAGGATCATGATGACTCAACTCTAGCTTCAGATAAATTGTAAATAATGAGGACCAGGCGACCAATGTTTTTAGTGAAAAGAAAAGGATTCAATAAGGAGGCGGAATTCAAGATCATGGCCCATGAGATTTTAAACTACCTCTACCTTTTAATGTTGTACAGTAGTACGAATACGAGAAATTGGGCGAAATTCTGTTTAAAATTTAGTTTCCATTTGGAAGGCTAAACTGGATAAGAAAAAATTGATTAAAGCATGAAATTTTCTAGAAAAAGACCCTATAGATTTTCCCACATCTTTAACTATTTGTGAACAGTAGATAATCTAACCTAGGTCAACCTCTACTTCTCTTTGCTCCTGTTTCTGCTTCTAATAGATATGTCTATAACTAGCCCTTTTTGTCTAAGAAGGTGTCCTACAAACTTATTTCGCCTATTTTTTTTTTCTTTCCATAGCGCCCTTTTGCTCGCCTACTGTTTCTAATACCTCCTCATTTCTAACCTTCTCTATCCACGGAATCCTCACCATAGGGAGGAAATGAGTGAAATGCTGGTAAAAGGAGTAGTAGTTATGGCACGCTTGTCTTTTTTGTTAACAAATAATATTCATTTTGAATTAATTATTCAATAGGTACATACTTATATGTAAGAGTTGAGCTACAAAGTATGTTTTTGGTATCTTTAGTCATCGATTGAATGATTTCGACTTTTCCTTGGTAAAAATCATCAATGATGGAAGAACACACAATATAAAGCATTTTACAAATTTTTATTAACTTGCTAGATATGTACGCCAAACATTGGGTTTATCAGGCGAGAGCAGTAACTACTACTCCAAATTTTGTTCATTGGTCTTTAATCATCTTTTGATAATGAATCAGATTCTTGAGGTACTGTGTTTATTTTGGAATCTAATACTCACAAATGTGATTTATTTTTGTCAAATCGTATTAGATATAGGTAATCGTTTTATATTTTGCATCTCTTCTGTTCCAATTACATCGCAACAAAACCTTTTCACTACACTGTGGATTTTGGACATTCGACACCTGAAACATAAATCTTTTTGGGATCAATTAAAAAGAAAATTTTCAATTTTCAAAAAATACATAACTGCATGAGTCGGAGTCTTCATGAATAGTACATCTGTTTCTGGTTGAACCACTGATGTGAAACCCAAAATATCGTGCGTTCAAATTTTAAAATTAGTTTAAAAGGAACCAAATTTACGAATCATTTTCATCTATTTCGCAAAAACACATTGTCGTCAAAACACTTATCACATTATGACATACATTGCGGCACTTTGATGCAACAAACTTAAATTGGTTTGCGCAATACCATAAAGACCGAAATTTTACCAATCTACAGTTAAGAATTGGGTGAAAATGAGTTGAAATTGTGAGTCATTTCCCTGGACTTGAGAAAAACATATTTTCATCAGAACACATGGCACCTTACAACATCCTGTTACATTTTTGTATCATACAAATTAAAATTGGTTTAAAGCCAGTGGTGGATGTTGGACATTCGCAGCCTTATGCATGGCTTTTCTAGGGGTTCTTGCTCATAAAAAAAACTATAAAATTTCGAAATAACCCGTGATTTTACAATTTTACAAGAATGGATAACTACAATAGAGGTCATTTGAGGCTTGACGTAGTGTGCATCTTATTTCAGCTAGATCAGTTCTCTCTCTCTCATCTCTGGCCTTACCACGTAAAGTTCATATTGCGTAAGTATGGAACGCACCTTCTGAGTTATGTTTAAATATAAAGTGCAGTAAAATATGTGTTTTAGGACCATTTACTACTTTTTTTTACCGCAAAACACTTCCTACATTTTATTGTAGAAGATTAACTAAAAAAAGGTCATTGAGTTGTTTTATCGTCAATTGTTTTCCTGTGCTAAAATATGTGACATGTCTTTAAGGCTGCGGTGTGGATGTATTCTTATTTTATTGCGTCAATTAAATCGTAAATTATGATTAATACTCGATTGGGTTTACATTTCTACTGAATGCAAAAATGTTATCCAACATGCAGGTAGTTTTAATTGCTCGTAAAGAGTTGGAAAATTGATTCTAAACAGTTGAGGGATCGGTAGAATGCTCAAGCATGTCTCCTTGCTATCTCGCGTGATTTACAAGTGACTATTATCGGTAAGCAATTAATTTCAAAAGGTAACAAATAACTACATTATAAGATTGCATGTACGGTACTTGAATTTTTTTCTACATGCAAATAATAAATACAATTTTTTATTGTGTACTTTTATACAGAAGGATTCATTTGTAGTATCCTTTATTTGTTACTCCTCCTTCTCTATTTATTTTGCAAATACGGTCGAATTTCTACAATTTGAAGTCTTCTCTGGCACGAATATTTGTGCTTCAGTGACGTACCGTCAGCGCAGCACTAAATATTAGATTATGGAAAACAGAACACAGCAAAGAAGCGGTTAAACTAGAATTTTTGATAAATAAATAAACAACTTTGTATTTTGGTTAGTTATTTAGTTTAATAGAGAGAAAAACTACAAATTGTATATATTTATTAACAGAAAAAGAAAAACAACGATGAATTGTAATATCAATATACATTAGACAGAAAAATGAGCGAAAATATTATTATTAATCATTTGGGTCACTATAGCCGGATATGATTTCTTGAAAATCAGTCATAATAAACGATATGTCCTTTTAAACGGAGTCATTATATCCAAACTTTCCTATAGAGAATTTAATATGAAAACCAAACTTAACACTGCAATTACTTCATATTAAGCGGTTGGTCAATAGAAGCGGAGTCATAATAAATGAATTCCACTGTAATCAAACAATTTCATTGTATAATCACAGAAATGTAATAATTTATCTAAAATTAATAACGCCAGAGGCCGTTTGTGTATGTATTCTCCAACAGTTTGACCAATTTTGATCTAAATCGGAACGAGTTATTTCGGTCTCATACAATTTTTGTAAAAGCGATATTAATTCAATGAAAAGTTAAATAAAAAAACATTAAATTAATGTTATCATATTCTTCATAGGGAATACTGATACAATATGTTAAATGCTCTCTTAAATCAAGGATAATTTTCGCATTTACTTATTACTGTATTTGCTTGTTGTTTGAAAGATTTGGATGGTTACGATTGGATATATTATGGAGTTAGTTTTGTGACGTAACGATCTTGATAAGAGACCGCAGAAATCTGACCTTTTATTTTAGGTAAACAACACGAGAGGCCATTTGTTTATGTGTTGTTATCATTTGCTTAGAAATCCTCGATCAGCGGTTCAGTCAATTTCTCTGTATTCATGTCAATTACGCAAATGTGAGATTAATCTACGTGATGTGAAGTGTTTGCAATTAATAATCAGTTTATCTATCTGTTAAATGTAATTAAATGTGCAGTTTACATTAAGGAATGGTTAAATACATGCAAATTTCAACTTGATAAGACGGCGTATCCTGGCGTTTTTGCAGATAAAGGTATCTTTCTCTTCCTTGTGGCAGGTAAGCGGGTCACTATATTTATTGTACTAATAAAGTAAAAGGTTTTTTTTTGGCTTTATAATCCAAAATTATTAAATATATCTTATTAGCTTTTAAATCGTAGGTATTTTAGGTAGTATTTTATGGACGTAAGGTTAGGCCAGTTTTCGTCTATTTAGTGGAGTTGTCATATGTTCTAATAAGGCAACATCGATAAATTGTATCATAATTTATTGCTAGTGTGCATTATTTTAATTGTTATTTAACCATAAGCCAATTACTTGTACCGTTTGTTTTTTTTATAAAAATATTGATGGAAACTTAACGGATTTTGTCAGTTTTCGTCCAGACATATGCGACTTTTCGACCACTATCTTGAAAAATAGAAAATTGTAAAATAAATATACTTAATATGAAAATAATGCGTATCGTAAATTATAAACACAGCATTTTAATAAGATACTTTTTGTACAGTACATAAGTGGACAACTTCAAAATTTTTATCTCCTGTCTTTTAATTTCAATAAATTTCGTTAAAATAAAGGTAGAATTTTTTCGATGAATTTTTCCGAAAATAGTAAACGTTTTGGCGATTCTTGGCTTTTTAAGTCATCTTAGCGAAGATAGGGTTGGCTTGTCCACCAAAATTATTCTTACCATTCGTAATAGGAATGAGCAAGCTTTTATGATTCATTCAGTCAGTCATACAAAAGCAAATGGTCGAAAACTGACACAAAATAATATTTGATGTATAGGCACGTTCCAGTTTTCATTCACAACTTCATAATTTTTTTCTTCATACAACACAAAAAATCGACTGGACGAAAACTAGATGTTTGATTGATAAACGTATAAGGTTTCAATTAAAAATAGTTTAATGTTAATTTATATGTTTTACTGCTTGAAAAAAGCAACTACAAATTTTGCTTAGTTGTTTCAATTTTCGTATAAATAGTTAGTTGAAAACTAAACCTTTTGCTTAATTGGTAATCCAGTATTGATCTATTAAATTTTGCCCAGTTGATTATAAGATAACAATTTGCATTTTTTATTATGTTCAATATGTATTGAATAAGTGAGTATGCAGCAGAGAAATAAGCCGCCAAATAATGAATTCATTATTTTGCCATGCAACTTGTTTAGTAATCTATTGTATTGATTTTTATATTGCTTAAATATTAGGTTTTCAACAAATTCAAGTATACACGATGATTATCTTCAATATAATAGTTGTTACATGTATTTGTTTGAAACAAGAACGTCAAACAGTTGAAATCACCATAATATTAAGTATTAATGCGAATTCTTACATCTAAAAAATGAAAAATTACAAAAATGTTATTTTTTCTTTCCTTATCCACTTGTAAGGTTTCGTGGGAGCGGTCGCATCATCATTTTCTTTTTTCCTTTAACCACCAACGTATCATTTTAGTACATGCTTAATATTTTATAATTTCGTTTTCTTTTATTCGTAAAAACAGGTACAAGCATACGAATGTTCTTATAAAAGTTTAATGGAATTATTTAGTAGTATCCAGAAGTAACAGTGAAAAAAAAATACTCGGAAAGTATACCATAAACCTACAATTACGGCTTTATATATGATCCTTGTATATTGGATGAATTTAGAGACGTTGAATTTTTTATCTGAAAAACTTGCCTGTCAAAGAAGTGCATATTTTATGTTCTATGAAAAGAAAATTAATTTTTCCACAAATGAAAAACGTCGAGCTTCTTGAGAACTTATTCAGTTTTCACCGAATTGGTTTTAATGTATACTTGCTTACGTCTTTTTTATAAATTATGTGTATTATTAAAAAATTACTATTGCTTTTTTAAGTATTGTTCATTCGATTTTTAATATTTAACTTTTAGTTTATTTCATTGATAATTTTCAATAGCTTCGCCAAATAAAATTTTTCAGGGTATGTATTTAAGTCAGAAGGGTATATTTGCCTATTGAAGGTATTTTGCAAATTGTGGTGTTTCCTGTTTTACCGGAATAGTGCAGTTACTAAGCTGAATGAGTCAATCCTATTTATTTTTTTGAGTAACTTTTGTAATAGCACAATTTTTTTGATAATAACTTACAGTTGATGCCTACCCTACAAAGTTTTTTTGAGTTTGCATTTTTATTTTAATTTATTGAAAATCACGACTTATCTTATCCTTTATAACAGTGTGATAAAATTCCAACTGCTAAAATTGACAGAAATAAAAATCGTAAAGGTTTTTTTAAATGTTTCAAATTCCCCTTCTCGTTCCTACAAAAGAAAATAGATGTGTCTAGTAGTTGAACAGAATTGGTAATTATTACATTTCAATTAGAGATGCACTGGATAGTGATCTGACCTTTTGTTTTAAATTAACAACCCAAGAGGGCCTTTGGGTATTTATTATTATCATTAGAAATCCTTTGTCTACAGTTCGTTCAGTGTCGTTAACGGTCGAACAAGTTGTCTCGGACGTTAAATTAAATTCGTATAAATTGTAAAAATTTTACACTGATTTAAATAATGTGAGTGCTTGTAATTGTCTTCAATATTTAATATAATAATAATGTATAGGTAATGTTAAGGAGTAATTAAGGACAAATATATTATATATATTAAAGTAAACATAAAAAGTGGTAATAGCACACAAAATGGAATCATCATTGTATGATGGGAAAAAAATAAGGAAAAGCTAGATCTTCGTATGAACATTTTTTTTTGTAGTTCTAAGCATGGTTTAAAAGTTCTTATCGATGCATCTATCGCTGGATATTATACCGGTTCCGAGGTCATGGGGGCATCTTTATCGAAAAAAAATAGTTATAAAATTTGTTTTTTAGGGAATGGCATACGAGGGTGGATTGATAAGTTTCCGGCCTAACCAAGAGATGACGCCACTAGGCCTACCTTGAGGTGACATTCTATAGTACCATCCTTGGATAGCTTGTAGCTATAGTTTCAGCCCGATCTCCTTGCTAGTGTAGGTTTGACAGCACGCTGAACAAGACGCCTCTGTGGTTTTCGTAAAAATGGAAAAGCAGGAAAATCGT